CCCGCCCTCGGCCAGCCCGCTCGCTGCCCAGGCAAGGCCCCGGCCCCATGACTATGGGATGAAATCACCAGGTAGCAACATTAGCTGTTTACCCAGTTACTACAAAATACGCGGCAGAGTAACCTGCCTTGAGCCGTCCCCGGGTGGCTCTGCATATAACCAGTTCCCTTGGGGAGATGATTGATGCACCTTGGGATAACCTTGCAGTTTAATTACAAGTTTAGTTGCACTCCTCATTAAGACACCATCCAATCTCTTTCTTGGGGGTTTCTAAGGATTGCCTTCTCCATGGTACCTACTGCACAACAGATGCTGGCACCTTGGCTATTTTCAGGCCCGCAGCCTTTCAAGGGATTATTGTGCTCCCATCTATGTGGGGGAGAATTGTAAGCAGTTTTAATGAGACAATTATAAACCAATGCCCTCAACTGCATTGGCATCCTTCCCTGACTGTGATTGAAGCAGTGCATCTACTTCCCCACTGAGATCTAGACTCTCCTGCATTTGCAAGCCCTGTTATTTGTTTGCTGAGTTACAAGGGGATTTTAATCACCACCCACGCTTGCCTGACAGCATGCCTCAGCCAGAGCATTCCCAGGTGCTTTCCCCCCGCAAACGGGCACGTGTTGTATGTGCTGATACAGTAAAGATCTGCAACAGCAGCCACGGCTGCTGCATTGTTTCACGCTTAACGTGCTTCTGCTGCCCGTTGGCTTTTTGCCTGCCCGAAGGGCGAGAAGCAGTGCTACATCATGCCATCCATCGCTTTTTCAAGGGTTAATGTAAAAGAAGAATCCTAGCCTTTAGGTTATAGCCGGAGATGCAGTTCATCCCACGCTGAGCCAGCACAAGAGTCTTTCCTCCTAGATGCCCAGGTCTGGTTATGCAACTGCTCTGCTGCAAAGCAACCTGACATCAAGGCTCGTCACTGCCCTGCCTCCCAGCCCCCAGGACAGGGGATCGACACTCTGCCCAAACTAGAAAACTCCTGGAAACAGCAAGGTGAGTGTGTGCTGTCCCTGGCCTCTACTAGGATGCAAGGCCTTTGGCAAGCGCAAAAATCTCTGCTCCTTCCCTCGGACACGAACTCTTGGACTGCGTCCCGGTGCCCCAGCACTGCTTACGATCTCCCGTTGCACCAGCGACATGCTGGGGAGACTTGCCCCTTCCAGATTTGGGACTTTTTGGTCATCGGCACACTTTCACCAGCACTCTACCTAGACTCCTGGCAGCCCTGGGTGAATTGTTAGTATCCCCTTCGTCAGAGATAACGATAGTAGTAAAATCGGACAACAGACCGTTTTTGGGCCTGCTTTGCCCATGGCTGTGCCTGACCCCGACTTTAACCTAAAAACAGCTCGGCTTCCCACTTCCAGATACAGCAGGGACACTACACGCCGCCCCATCGCTGGCGCCTGTTGTACTCCAAGCCCTTGCTGCCCCACGTTTCCCACTTCCCATTTAGCGACAGCCAGGGGCTCGCCCTGTACTCAGGCTCTGTCCCGCGCCCCTCGCTCGAGGCTGGCAGCTGTGCCCTGGCACAGAGCTCAAGGGCGGCTCCCAGCCATGGCCAAGTGCAGCTCAGATGCCCGACCTGGATTAGACCACAGGCTGTCAGCTGTGCCGGGCAGCCCAGGAGGCAACTCTGATCCACATGCCTGGTCAGAAAGGTTGGGGAAGTGTAGAGAAAAGGGATGGAGGGCTTGGATGCCATGGTGATGGGCGCCCGTGTAAAGAGCTGGGGAGGCGGAGGTGACCGTCCCCTGGCCTCTTCAAAGCGGGGGGATCCTTTCTTACCTGCTGTGGATCCCCTTGGTGCTCTCTGCTCCGCTCCCCTCCGCAGCTGCAGCAGCAGAGCAGCCTCCCTTGTTCTCTTCCCTCCCCACAACCCCCCCAGCACCTTTCCCGTGATGTCACCCAGCAACCCTGCTCTCAGCCAATGGCCAGCCTCCCCATCACCCGGCTGTTCCGGTTTTGTGCTGTGTTTGCCTGTTACCCGTGGAAATAGTTGCCTTAGGAACTGAAGAGGGGGGAATTCCATCCCCAACGCCTCTCCCCTCCTACCCACTCTCTTGGCATTGTGCAGCGGGCCCGAAATGTGACATCAGAGCTGCTCTCCTGCCTGAGCCGGCTGCAAGAGGCATTGCAGCAAACCCCTTGCTCTGCCCCATGCGCGTGGGGTGGGACCCACCACCCTTTGGACAGCGGTGCCTAGTAGCAGGCAGGACAGGCAGGGCTGGGAGCGAGCAGAAAAGCAGGGCAATTAGGGCTGAGGGCTGGGAAGGACGAAAAAAAAATCAAGGGCATGGTATAGGACGGGTGGGGGGACAGGGTACCAGCACCAGTTGCGGGCACAATAGAAGCAAGGACACTTATCAGGCAGTTTGCTGTGTGCCCTGCACCCCAAACCTGCCTAGCACCCCATCCTTACATGTTCTTGGCAGGGTGAGAAGGGAGTGCAGTATCCCTCCCCCTGCACAGAGCACGTACCGTGCCATGTCACTACCATCTCCCTTGCTCCATGCGGGGCCCTGCAGCTGAAGCCACGTTTCCCTGCTCCAAATACCCTTGACAGGTCAGGGAGTTGGCTCTAGTCGCTCACCCCATAATATATCCTGCAGCCTACAGCTCACACACACTGGGCAGAGCAAGAGGTTTGCTGCAATGCATTTTGCAGCTGGCTCAGGCAGATGCGCAGCTCTGATGAATTCAATAGAAACAAGGATCTGCTGTTTCCCTGTCCCACCCAGACACAGCATGATGCCTCCCTAGAAGAAAGTGTTGCATCGAAGAAGTCGCGCCGCATTTAACAGGAAGAAGGAATACGCGGTCCTGGACCAAGCTGCCCTTAGTGCTATAAATAGGGCATATTCCCTTTTATACTTGCTGAATAATTTAGCTGTATGAAATATGAACACAACTTGGAAAAGAGCACATGATAAGCAGCTTGCAGGGGTGAAGTCATCGAACAGAACATTTACAACACTTGCAAAGCATCTCCTGCTAAAGCCACGCTCCCAGTCAACGGGGAGAAAAGGGCTCAGAATAGATCCCCTTTATACAGGCTGCAGGCTCGCCTCAAGCAAGCCCCATCTACTGCCACCACGGCCGTTCTCAAAAGCAGACGCGAGCAGATCATTGCAAGCTCTGCACGCAGTCTGTTTGGGGGTTTCAAACAGGATCCCAGCTCCGGGTTGCCCAATGACTTCCCTTATCAGTTCTAGGAAGCCTGACGCAGCAAGCAAGGCCAGAGTAAGAAAGGACACTCAAATGCTCAGAAAGGGGCCAGTTTAAGGTCTACCATCAAGAGGTAATGTAGGAACATCACAAAACCGAAGCTTACCTGCGAGGGAATACGCTAATCAAAGCTGTAAAAACAACCCAGCACAAGGACACAGAATAATCGTGGAAAGAGATCACAGATGACAGGGAGGCCACATTTCTATGAACTTGGTAAGCACTAGGCAAACTCGAGGGGGCCCCAACGCTGGATTGGGGTGTTGCTACATTGTGAACAGCCACATCAAGACAACCATCCCTCCCAAAAACCACCCGAGAGGAGAACGCACAAGGTCAGACTCCCGAGGAGGCTGGGATAAAGGAAGATGATGAATGCAGTACTCTAAAAATGGTGTTAGGGCAGATTTTGTTCTCTTTTATTTTGCTAAGATGCACAGTGTAGATGAGGAGGGTGCAAGGTAGTCAGTATGAAGGACACGTTCACAGGGTACACAAGAGATGGGAAGAAACAGCTGCACACAGAAGCAGGAACGCTCGACTCGCAGCGTGTGGGGGAAGGGGAGGAATGCAGGCCCCTTTCACGCCATAAAAACACCAATGGAATTAGAGAGGACCACCGGCACGGCTAGAAGTGTATCTGCTGTGGAAAGTGCCCACAAGATGAGGTCCAGCCCAGAAGGAAGCAAAGCACAAAAAGGTGGTTAGGTGCATTTTCCACTCTCTGCATGCAGAAAAGCAGAACTCAGGCAGCAAGAGAAGTCACTACTATGGTAGCAAGGAGTTGGAAACATTTGTCAAGAGAGTTTGCAGGGCAATATCTGCGCTGCACAAAGCAGCTAACCAGAAAGTCCCCCCCTCAAGTGTTTGTGTAGTAGGATATAACACGATTACAATCTCCCATTCTGCACTGTGCGTAGGTCAAAGACAAGGACGCAACTACAGATACAAAATTTAAAGGACATTTTATTGATTCGGAGACTAGACAAGGCAGCATTTGGTCTGTAAAGAAAGGCAAAAATAATCTAAGTGCCACTTTCACAGTCAAATGGGAGAGGACAAATATCCTTTTGCATTTCTTTGATATTACAGGGGTTTCAGTTTTGCCAAGATCAGAAAGGAGCCATCGTCTCTTAAAGACAGGTTTGGACTACAGCTCAGGACCCTAGACACATATGGGAGTGAATGGCTTCTCAGATGACTGAAGAGCACCACAGCTTCATTTTAGGATTGCCCTGAGAAAGGCCAGAACTTCCATGAATTGGGAGAAAAAAGGCTAACTAACTTTGTCTCCTTCCCTTTTAGAGCTAAGGAGGCATTCATTCATTTTGGTCAACCGTAGGGAGCTGAGGGCAAGTAGCAGAACGACCCATTCTGCAACCTCCCTGGAGTCATAAGAAACCGTGGAGCAAGCACCGCAGTCCCAAGTGGAAGCGTGGTAGTCCAGCCCTCTTAACACAGCAAAGGATCTAGGGTCTGGTCTTTGGCACAGAAATCCATTTTCACTCTGCGGTCGTTCTTCCTCCCCATATGCTGATTTGAGAGAGATAAAAATCTCCTCTTAAGCATGATTCTGATGAGAAAAACCAGTCTGCCTTTGGCATCTTCCCCACCCTTCCTCCGATCAGCCACGACCCCATGCCCCACCACAGCCCTCCCTCTCTCCCAAAGGGAAGGGATGGAATGATGTGGAACAGCATGCAGCCTTTGGTGGCGTCTCATCTGGCTCACGTAGTCACTCGGCTGGAATAATCCCCAAACAAAGAAAAAAAAAAAAAAAAAAAAAAAAAAAGAAACATAGATTTAAGGAGAAAAAAAACACCAAATGAATTATGATGTATGGTGGAACGGGGCCGATATGGCCGCCACTCAGACCGAATGCAGGGGAACATGCTGTTCTCATGGGGAAAATCAAGCTTCTCCCGCATCCAGGATGACTTCTTGGAAAAAAAAAAACAACCCTCTCTTCCATGACTTTATTGCTTCCAGTGCCCCCTTTATCTCTAGAGATTCAAAAGCAGGAGTTGGGATAAAAAGCTGCTCTGATAGGAGAGACTTTTCTCTAGGCAAGCAAAATGCACGAGAGTGGCTTCAGACACACCCATCTATTACTGCCTACTCCCTGAACATTTGCTGTCCTAGACTAACTGGTGACCTGTCTCCCACCACCACCCCCTCAAAACATTTGTGCCCAGAAGCCTGCCAGCAGTACCACCCCCTCAAGGTCACCCTTGCGGCAACAGCAAGAGGAAATGACCTATACAACACTAGAAGTCAAAGAAGCTAAATCAGGGGACAACTGCCAGCGAATTCTAAAATTGCTGTGTTTCCTTCTGAGCCCCTTTCCGCACAGTCACATGCTTTCACAAATCAGCAGTGACGAGACTGCTTTCAATTTCTGGGGCTATTTAGAGCAGTCTCGATAGTGGGGGGAGAGCTGCACTTCTTGAGAAGGGATGATGTTCAGGAATTGAGTGGTTTTCAGATTAAATGAAGTCATGAAAAAGGAGGGCAGCACGCCCTCTGGCTGAACATGTCATACCCTACAGCAGCCACCGAAAGGAGAGAGTCCGTATCCCCTTTGCCAGGGGCTGGCAATTATTTCGAGCAGAGGGCCGCTTACTGAGTTTTGGCAAGCCATCAAGGGCCGCATAACAGGCAGCCGGGGGCAGATTAATATTCATTTTCTAAATTCTGGGGAGGCCCCACAGGCCAGATAGAATGGCGTGACAGGCCATGTTTTGCCCACCCCTGCCCTATGCAAGAGAAAGTCAAATAACGAGCGAGCAAAACCAACTGTAGGTCAAAGGCCAAGTTTTATCAAGGCCAGCCAACTGGCATTGACAATAGGATCCTTTAGCTACAGCTGGATTCCTGCACAGGACAGGGTTCATTACTTTCTTACCAGCCTCATTTTTTACTGCAGCACCAAAACGTGATAAAGTAAGCTCTGGGATTAAACAAACACCCAGCAGTGCAGGATTCAGTCACGCTTTTAGCCTGGGTTGAGAAACTCAAGTACATTTCCATGCTAACACACAGCAGGTCAGGCTGGAGAGGAGCTCAAGGACACTTAAAGTGTCAGTTATAGCTTTATCTCAGAGTCCTTGAGGAATCACTTGTGTGTACACCAAGCTCTAGAGGTTCAGACGTTGGGAACAAGGAAAAAGAATTGATATCCCAGCTCAACCCCTCTCATTGCCTACATGCCCCTTCCTTCCCCATGAACTCTCTCTACTGGAGGTCACAGTCAGTTATAAGTAGATGTAAAGGTGAGAGCTCTGCTCACACAAGACAAAAGAGGACAAGGATAAGGGGGCACAAGCATCTGCTTACATGGAATGGAATAATAGTAAGCCTTACACACGCATGCGTGCCCACGCACAGTCAGTCACTACATTCCCGCTGGATTCACCTGATCCCCCCTAAACAGATAACCCACGTGGGCTCACACACATGCAGTCAGTCACTACACTCCCACTAGATTCACCCATTCTCTCCCCTGCAACATGTGGGCTCCCCCCCCGCCCCCGTGAGCAGACAAAACATTTTATCTGCAGTAGTGGACAGACAGCGACACCAGCCTGACATTTTGTAAGCTTCCTTCACATGCCTCAACCCCGACTGCCAGTCCTCCTGCGAGGCTCCCGAGTCCCCCGCTTAGCAGTGAGAAGTGCAGCTGTTTTCCAATTAACTTTGTCTCGTGAACAAAACTAGAATTCTCTTTCAGCCCGAACAGAGGCCAACATGTCGTAGCAGCGACAGGCGGGTGTGTTAGCTCACTGTGCCCTCTAGAGGCAATGCATGCTTACAGACACCACTGTGCTCACACAGACTGTCAAGTGCTTGTTTAATGGGCGCAGTCTACTCTCAGGCTGCAGGATCACCCCCTTCTTTCACTCTCTAGTGACTAGACCCCTGACCCCAGCAGATAGAGACAGAGACAGAGAGAGGAGAGAGAGCTCTGCACAAACCAAGAGCTCTACACAAACATAATCAGGTCTTTACATGTTGCTCTTGAGAAGGCTGCCAGGATACTGGCAAACACCACGTCAGGAGTCTGGGAGGCGTCGATGGCCGTGTGGATCCCACGGCGGGTGTAGTAGTTGATCAGCGGGGTGGTCTGCGTGTGGTAGGCCTTCAGCCGAGTCTTCAGAGCTGCTTCGTTATCATCGGAACGGCGGATTAAGGGCTCCCCAGTGACCTGGGAGAAAGCAACACCAAGGCAGCCAAAAATATATCAGAGACAAGCTACAGCCCAGCAGTGACCTTTTGTCAGAGCAGGCCATCCCTTCCTCCACCCATACAGCTACATCTGACTTCTCCTGGCTGGTCACAGGAGATGGAGGGGTAAGGCTTGGCTCTGGAGAAAGGGACAAGTGAGGAGTCTGAACAGGGGCACAAAGCTGCTTACTAAGGAAATGAGGTTGAGCCTACCCGGAAGAGGCATCAGAACCTGCCTAACCATCTACAGCCCATGCTGTAGCTTGCCTGCAGGGAAGGGGCAGAGCTGGGAAGGTTGACCCCCAAAAGGAGGGGGATCTTTGTGTGAGAGAGAGAAAGCAAGTTTTGCAGACATGCTGCAGAGCATTAGCCAAACCCAAGGTGATTGCAAAGGAGATTTCAGAGGAAACGTCTCAGTAGCTCACGTACATCGTCCTTCATGTGTTCTTTCGGGGGGTTGAACTCCTCGTGGTAAGAGCGGCCACTTGCTGAATGAATCAGTCTAGAAACAGAAGGCAAGGGTCAGCAAAGCACCTCTATGTTCATGACAAGGACACCCAAACTCTGATCAGCACAGGTGCTATCCGTGGCAGCAAGGCTACGTTCCTACCGAGAGAAGACATTCGACTGATCTCCACCAAGCATCATGTCAGTCCCCCCAAGGAAAGCTGTGCTGGGAGATGGAGTATGAGTTTCTCATGCAAAAGGAAATGGTCTGGAAAGGCAGGTTTATGGAGTGCATACAGACTTGTTTACACCATCTCTGTGCTGTGCTCAGAAGGCCCACTCAGCAGCACTCCCCACCCTCACTCACTCTCACTGTGTCTGCCCGTCAGTCTTGGAAATGAGACAACTTATGTGCAAAGAAGCAGGCTCAAGATGCCCGAGTGCTGGTTATGTGCTCAGGGCTGCTCTGAGG